ACAAATTCTTTTTTATGGATTCTGAGTCGTGTGTCCTGTTTAACAATCCATAGCACTCTAAAATGGTAAACTTTTATCTCATATTTTCTTTAGTTTCTCCCAAATTATTTTTATCTTTAAATCCTTCATTTGGATGTGTGTCCGTGTAAGAAGTGAGCTTGAGGTTCAAGGCTTTCTATTTTCCTTGATTTTGTTTATTTATTTTGAAGCAACTAATCAGGCTCAACATCCATCCTTGAATGACTAATTATTCTTCATTGATTTTAAGTATTCTCTTTGGGTTTTTTTCTCACTTTAATATTTTTCCTTATTAAGGTTTTCAACCTAGCCACTGTGTTTTCATCCAAAATTTATACTTTAATATTTAATAGCTTACTGGGTATGTAAAGAATATGTATGTCCACTCAGCCTGGATCCCATTCTAGAATTTAATGCAAAGAAAACGATGTGAATGGAAGAAATGCCATTAGAGAAGGAGGGAGAGGTAAACCCAGCCCATGACTTGACCAAGATGTGTAGTGAGAGGTCATTTCAGGCCATGTGAAAAATCTGCCTGTTTTTCTGACTCTGTCAGTTGTTTTGGATTGAGAAGACCCAAATAGCTGATGCCATGCTGGCAAATGATTCATCCAAGAATGGGAAGTGGACAGCTAAGTTTGAAGAGTAAGTGCAACTTTGTATCTTTTGTGTTCTTTTTCAAGAGGAGGAATTAAATAACCAAGACTTGGGTTTGGAGTTCAGAAGAGTCCCAGCTACTTGAAATGCCTTGAAATCTGCTGCTGCCTCAATGTTTTGGATCCTGTCATTGTTTTGCAGGAAATTTCCTGACTTTTCTTCCATTACTTCATATGCTTCTTGATGAAGTTTATGAAAATCCAGTGTAGTAACTATCATGGCCTCTCTTGAGAGTGCTGTTCAAAATGGACTCTATTTCAAACATAGTATCCTTATTTTAAGCAGAATAGGTATGGACTGTTCTGTTGTCTGAGATTCTTTCTCCCTTTATCCTCTCCTCTCTTCCCTCAGCCTTCTCCCTCCTGAGTTTGCTGGACCGATTCTGTGTTTTAGCTCTTCCCTGAAGTGAGTGTCTCTGAGGAATCAACCATTTCTTGGGGCTACAATATCTTCACCATCAATAGTTAAAAAACCCTTTTACTGTGAAATCCAACAAATGTTCACAAAAGTACACAACACAAACAAACCATCTGTATTATTTAGGTGTAATCAAATTTAAGACGGATTTTTTTTGAATATGAAATTTCTTCATTAATTTCTAAAAATACTCTCTATATTAGTCAGGGTTCTCCAGAGATACAGAATCAGTAAGATCAACAGGGTGTGTGTCTGTCTGTGTGTCTGTCTGTGTGTGTAAAGAGAGAGACAGACACAGAGAGATGTTGATTTTAGGGATTGGCTCATGTGATTGTGGAGACCGGCAAGTCCAAATTCTATAGGGCAGGTGGGCAGGCCGGAGACCCAGGGAAGAGTTTGTGTTGCAGCTTGTGTCCAAAGGCAGTCTGGAGGCAGAATTCCTTCTACCTCCAGGACCTCCATATTTTTCTCTTAAGATCTTCAACTGATGGGATGAAGCCCACTCACGTTATAGAGAGTAATCTGCTTTACTCTGTCTATTGACTTAAATGTTAATCTCATCTAAAAAATATCTTCACAGGGGCACCTGGGTGACTTAGTCGGTTAAGCATACGACTCTTGCTTTCAGCTCGGGTCATGATCTCAGGGTCTTCGGATGGAGCCCCGTGTGGTGTGGAGCCTGCTTGGGATTCTCTTTCTCCCTCTTCCTCTCCCTCTGTCTCTCAAAACAAAACAAAAATGAAAAAAACCTTCACAGTGACTTCCAAACTGATGTTTGACCAAATATCTGGGTACCATGACCTAGTCAAGTAGACACATAAAATTAACCATTGCACCTTCTTTACCTCCAATAATTCTATTCCTAAAGCCTAGTTTGTTTTCTATGCATACAGTACGCCAGGTTTCTTTTGATAAGTGTTTGCATGGTGTATCTCTTTCCATCTTTTGCATTCAGCCACTCTGAATGTAAACTATATCTCAAATTTGCAATGAAGCCTCATATATCTACACCCTCAACTATTCATTGAGAAAACAGAAGCAATAAGAAGAGAATTTTCAAAAGCTTCTATACTTACCACTTACCAGTGTCTATGCTCAAATAGTCTGCCCTTACCCTTACTAGATTGTAATTCCATGAGTGCAGAGACTTTGCTTATTCTCAACACATACAAGCATACCTGACAAATAGTAGGCCTACAAAAAATTTGTTGAATTACAAATGAGTAATAAAAAATACCACTATCAGTACTAGAGCAAAAAATTATCATTAATTCATTCAATAAAACTTTGTTATGTGCCCATTTCTACAAACTGAGGGTATAGTAGAGAGTAGAACAGATATCCTAAGGAGTTTATATTTTAGTTGAGGGCTAAATCCAAACTATTCCCGGCTGTAGGCACTTTATATGCACCCTTTCTTTTGTTTAAAATTTTTTCCAGCTTTATTGATTTAAAATTGCCAAATAAAAATTGTCTACATTTAGGGTATACCACATAATGTTTTGATATATGTATACATTATGAAATGATTACCACAACAAAGCTGATTAACATATCCACTACCTCACATAGTTACTATTTTGTGTGTGTTTGGGTGTGTGTGTGATGAGAATGCTTACAGCCTACTCTCTTAGCAAATTTCAAGTATGCAATTCTATTAACTATAGTCACCATCTTGTATATTAGATCCTCAGAACTTACTCATCTGGCATGACTGAAAGTTTGCATCCTTTGACATACATCTCCCCATTTTCTCCCACACCCAAGCCACCTTAACACCATCGTTCTACTCTCTGTTTCTGTGAGTTTAACTTTTTAAGATTCCTCATACAGTTTGGTTCATGCAATATTTGTTTTTCTGTGTTTTGCTTATTTCATTTACTATGTGTCCTTTAGGTGCATCCATGTTGTCACAAACGGCAGGATTTCATCTATTGGTGGACATGTATGTTGTTCTCCATACTTTGGCTATTGTGAATAATGCTGCAATGAACGTGGGAGCACAGATATCTTTTTGAGTTACTGATTTCATTTGTTTTGGATTTATACCCAGAAGTGGGACTGCTGGATTGTATGGTAGTTCTATTCTTAATTTTTTGTGGGACTTCCATACTGTTTTCCATAGTGACTGTACCAATTTATATTCCCACCAACAGTGCCCAAGGGCTCCCTGTTTTCTTTTCTTTTTCTTTCTTTCTTTCTTTCTTTCTTTCTTTCTTTCTTTCTTTCTTTCTTTCTTTCTTTCTTTCTTTCTTTCTTTCTTTCTTTCTCTTTTCTTTCTTTCTTTCTCTCTCTCTCTCTCTTTCTTTCTTTTAAGATTTTATTTATTTATTTGACAGAGAGAGAAGGAGCACAAGTATGGGGGAGAAACAGAGGGAGAGGGAGAAGCCAGGGAGCCCAACGTGGGGCTCAATACCACAACCTGAGCCAAAGGCAGACGCTTAACCAACTGAGCCACCCAGACACCTGGCTCCCTGTTTCCTACATCCTCACCAAAGTTTGTTATCTCTTGCCTTTTTGACAATAGCCATTCTAACAGATGTGAGGTGATATCTCATTGTGGGTGTTATTTGCATTTCCCTGATGATTAGTTATACTGAACATCTTTCTATATACCTGCTGGCCATTTGCATGTCTTCTTTGGAGAAATTTCTATTTAGGTTCCTTGCGCATTTTTAAATTGTGTTATTTGTTTTCGTGCTGTTGAGTTGTTTGAGTTCCTTATATATTTTGGATGTTAGTCTCTTATCAGATGTGTGGTTCACAAATATACAATCCCATACATTGTCTTTTCATTCAGTTGACGATTTCCTTTGCCATGCAGAAGCTTTTTAGTCCGATGCAATCCCACTTGTTTATTTTTATTTTTGTTGTCTGTGCCTTTGGGGTGATATCTAAAAAAATTAGCTGAGAGGATCAATCTCTGTCCATTGTTCAGTGCTCTGTATGAGACGAGATAGAAACTGGCTCAGGGAGGGTGGTTTGAATTACTGACCATAAGGCCTCCTTCCCTTCTTTGTGGGGGTAAAACCTCAGTTCTGCACCTGTTCCCAATCTTGCAAACAGTACCAGTTGTAGAATGATACCTTTCCTTTCCTTTTGTTTCTGGCTGTCCCAAGGGATTGGGCTCTGCCTGTTGTTCAGCCCTGGTATAAGCAAGATAGAACTCAGCGCCATGGAGGGGGCCCTGAGAGGCTAGGAAGCCAGGTTGGTGCTCCATTCTCAATCCCCACCCTCCAAACATCTACCTCTCTGTGGCAGAAATCATGGCCTGGGCAATCTTTTTGGTACTGAGCTAACTTGATGTGGTGGAGGGACAAATATGGGTAAAGTGAAATTGCTCTTCTTACCTGTATCAGTGTAACTGTTCTCAGTTTGTGCTCCTCTGGGGTGCTTTTAATTCTTAGCTGGATTCTGAATTTGTCTTCAAGGTACTGATATCATTGTTAAATCAGGGTAGTGGTTCTGTATAGGAAGAGATGGCCTGCATCATGTCTTCTAAATCTTTGCAAAATTGTCAGATGAGTGTTACTACACTCATTCTCAGATGAGAAAGTTGAGGCTTAACTCTTCGATCCAATATCACTTACAGCCAGAATTCAGACTGAAGTATTCAAACATGTTTTAAGTACCAGTCTACTGTGCTTATACAGGCATATCAGGGCTTATATCCTATAGCACATTGCAAACGGCAATGAGAAAACCCAGCACGAATCAGAGCTTTTGAGCAACTGTAGCTTCAGCCCCAAGATGGCAGTGTTTTCAATGGCCTTGCCTATAGAAAGATTGTGTATAGGAGGGGCATGTGGTCTCTGATTGGCTGATCACACACCCTGAAAATCCCTTTGTTTAGCGTTAAAAAATGTTGAATAGACAAGTCAGCTTTCGGGGCAGCCCTGTGCAGAAGGATGGAGAAGCATCTGAGAACCTCCTTGGTGGTTTTGTGGCTTCATTTTTGTTGTAAGTTAATGCAGAGTTTTAGCCAGGTTGATGCGGGAAGTTCAGGGAACATTTTCTTAGGATTTTCAGCAAATGTGTATTGCACTGAGATAGGAGAAAGGAAGAAAATGGGGCCATTTTATAGTTTACCTGGGATTCATTGTGGAGAAAAGGAAGGGCTGCAGATTAGGAAGCATTCAAATGAATGATCTATTTCTTAAATCTCACTTTGCTTTCTGAATAGGGGTGAGTGGCAAAAACCAAGTGGAACAGAATCTTCCATCCCTGGTCATCCTGGAGGGGGAGAACTGCACAATTCAATGCAACTACACAGTGAACCCTTTTAGCAACTTAAGGTGGTACAAGCAGGGCACTGGGAGAGGTCCTGCTTCTCTGATAGTCATGGCTTACGGTGACAGCAAAAAGTCAGATGGAAGGTACACAGCGACTCTGGATGCAACCTCCAAGCACAGCTCCCTGCACATCACAGACGCCCAGCTCAGTGATTCAGCCTTCTACATCTGTGCGGTGAGCGCACTGTGTTCCCTGGGCACTTGCAGCCAGTACCTAAACCTGCACCTGCAGGTTGTCAAGGAGGCTTAGGAGGTGAAGTAGAGCATTGTTTTTTTTTTGTCGTATATAATTTCACAAGTGAGCTGGTACCTCTTTCTTGCATATGATTGAGTTTGAACTTAAGCCGGGAAGTCTGCACAGCATAAGGTTATCTTCATTCAGCACATAAAGTTAGCTGCCACATCTGGCTAGTCCCAAGGTAAGACTGTCATGTTGCATTACTGCTGTTGAAGTAAATAATAATTTTGTTTTAAAGGGATAAATCAGCTCTGTCTGGGGTCCAGCGACTAGTAGAATGTCAACCAAGTGGAAAAGCAACAAATGATGGGGTTGAGGACAGTATCTGATAAGCCTTCTTTCCTCCTGACAGATTTTTATTCCTCACTTAATGGCTATTCAAGTTCTTAGGAAGCATTCTGTGGGGAGAGATATGCTTTACCAATTTATCCATGCTCCACATCAAGCCACCTTTCCAGATGCAGCACCAACTCATTTATTGCCTTCCACAGCTGTTCCTTTGGCGAACATCACTGCTCATACAATTATGCCAGCATGATACTGGCAGGCACAGTCACTCTGAGGCAGCAGGGTAGCTGTCCCAGGCTCTTCAACTAATAGCATTCTAGAAAAGAAACTTAAGGGACAGAATGTCTTCATGCTATGTGTGGTCTTAGATTGCACTAATTAGCTATGATGTTCTTTTTTGAGACACTTAGAGAAATTGAAATATGGTTTGAGAGTTAGATGAGATAAATATTTATTTTATTTGAATGGTAGATATTAACTGAGAAAAACAAGAAGGATATATAATAAGATATTTAAAAAGGTAATCTCTGAGTCGCAGGAATACTTTTATTTTTGTATCTTTCCTTGTCTATATTTCTAATTTTCTATAGTCCACAGGTTCTGCTATGTCAAAATAGAGGTTATTAAAAAAACAAAAACTAGGGACTTTCAGTTTCTTGTTCTGCATGTAAGGAGCTTTATCTTATTTTTTTTAAAGATTTATTTATTTATTTGAGAGAGAGAGAACACAACAAGCAGGAGGGGCCGAAGGAGAGGGAGAAAGAATCTCAAGCAGACTCCACGATGAGTGCAGAGCCCGATGTAGGTCTCCGTCTCTGGACCCCGAGATCAGGACCTGAGCTGAAACCAAGAGTTAGATGTTTAACTGACTGCACCACCCAGACACCCCTGCATGTAAGGAGCTTTAAAGTTACCACTTGTCCTAACAAGTAAAGAGCAGAGCAGGCTGAAAAATCAACAACTGTTCTTGGATCTGTAGAGGAGGAGAACATAGGACAAATTGCTGACCCCACGATTGGAAAGACAGACAGTGAAAACAGGGAATTGCAGCTTATTGGAGCAAAGGCTCAGGAGCACAAACTGCAATGGGAATCAGTGCTGGACAGGAAAACCCAAACTGTAATTGATGAATTGCTGGAGGCTTAGTGTGGACAAGTCTGAGAGTTAAAAATTCCAGAGCACACAGTCATAAGGGAACCCCACAATATTGTGAGATTATGTCTCGGAGCTCAAGCACAGTAAATACTGGAGAAAAATCCCCTAATGCTCTGACAAGGAGGGGTGGGGGAAGAACTACTTTGAAATGCACCAGAGCAATCTGTTCTTCCTTAACAAGGCTTGCCCTCAGGGGAATAATTAACCAGCACTTAACCTGCTACAGTTCTATCAGAGCCTAACTAACCTAGGGGAAAGGAAATACCCAACTCCAGCCAGTTTAGCCATCTTGTCCCTTCTAATGCGGGAGAAAGAATAGAAAAAGAAAACTAGAGAACTTCAAAATCCAGAAGCGCAGGCTCAGTGAAAGACTGAGCCCTTTAACAGAACCATGGACACTTCCCCTCTTCCCACGTCTGACCACCACATTCCCAACAGCTTATTTCAGCAACTCCTTTTGCCCAGTACATCCTGTCTGGCTATTAAGAAAAAAAATGACAGGGCAGACCAAAAAACTAAAAGCATACTTTGGAGAGACATAGCAAGCATCAACCAGATGTGGCAGAGATGTTGGAATCATAAGACCAGGAGTTTAAAACAACTACAATTAATATGCTAAGCCCTCTAATGGATAAAGCAGACAGCATGCAAGAACAAAAATGAGCCATTTCAGCAGAGAGATGGAATCCCAAGAAAGAATCAAAAAGAAATGTGAGAGATCGAAAGCACTTAGACCAGAAGCAGCTGAAGAAAAAAATCTCTGAACATGATGGTATCTCAACAGAAACCTCGAAAACTGAAAAGCAAAGAAAACAAAGACTGGGAAACAAACAAACAAACAAAACCCAGAACAGAATATCCTAAAGACATGTAACAGCTACACAATTCGTAACATATGCCTAATGGAAATATCAGAAGAAGAAACAGAGAGAGGAACAGAAGAAATAATTGAAACAATAATGGCTGCTTATTTTCCTAATTTAATGTCAGACACAGATTCAGGGAACTCAGAGAACAGCAAGCAGGATAAATGCCAAAACGCCCCCCCCAAACAAATAAAAAAAAGCTACACTTAGGCATATCATTGTCATACATAGAAAATCAAAGATAACAACAACAACAAAAAAATCCCGAAAGAAGCCAAGGCAAAAAAACACCCTACCTATAGAGGAACAAAGATAGAAATTACATCTGATTTCTTTCAGAAACCATACAAGCAAGAAGAAAGGGACCTGAAATGTTTAAAGTCTTGAAAGGAAAAAAACCCACCAACCTAGAATTCTGTACACTGTGAAATCATCTTTCAAAAGTGAAAGAGAAATAAAGACTTTCTCAGACAAAAATTGAGGGAATTTTTTTCTGCTAGACCTGCCTTGCAACAGACATTAAAAGTTCTTCAGAGAGAAGGAAAAGAATATAGGTCAGAGACTGAGATTGACATAAAGCAAGGAAAAACATCAAAAAAAGAGTAAGTGAAGGTAAAATAGAAACTCATTTTTTTAGTCTTAATTGATCTAACAGACACACATTGAGTTTATTCGTTATACAATTATTTATTGAACACACAGTAAGTGACAGATATTTTTGTAGATTTATAATGTAGAATACCAAACAAAACAGACAAATGCAGACACCAAAAGACCTTCCTTAAATTTAGATTGGTCTATGGTGTTGACTTTCTTTTAAAGGAATATACTATTAAATTTATTTTCCAAGGTAGGCATTTTCCTTGCTTGCTTTCAGTAACCGGCATGTTTCATGCGGTGTTGAAAGGCATAGACATTGAAATCTTGCACTTACTAAATAATGTGATGACAAAATTACTAAACTTAGAGCACCTATATTTCATTATCTATAATAACATATACCTCATCACATAGTTGTAAGGATTCAGTTCAATACAAATAATTGAATTAAATGAATGGCATTAGCAGAAAATGATTTTTCAACTAATGGTGGTTATTCTTGGACATAGATGGGATGAGGCAGTGAAGATAATTTAAGAAAAAAATAAAAAAATATCAAATATAGATTAAGGCTTAGGTCTCCATCATTCCACTATTGATTATGTTATTTTACTATGGTGATGGCTGGGAGTCTCCCTTTATTTCACATTGGACTTATCCCATCCAATTATCTGAACAGACTGTAATGGCTTTTTTGTTTGTTTGTTTGTTTGTTTTTTATCTCATAGGTGTTATGCACACAAAATCACAATTTCTTGCTTCTAGTGTATTTTTTTTAAGTAGGCTCCTAGGCCAAGGTGGAACCCAAAGTGAGGCTTGAACTCACAACACCGAGATCAATATCTGAGCTGAGATCAAGAGTTGGATGCTCAACTGACTGAGCCACCCAGGCACCCTACTGCTAGTGTATTTTAATGTAAATTGTAAGTTGGATCCACACAAGTTTTATGGAGCAGGGCTCAGATGTAAATAAGATCATTGTACTGAGCTACAGTGTCACTAGCTAGATTCCTATGTAAGGGCTCATTTAGTAGATTTCTGCACTGAAAAGAGAGAAAAGAACCTCTCTAGGTCTTCCTTGGCAGAGGGATGCTTTTTCATTATTCAATTTATAACTTGTACATGATAGATGCTGAAGAATTTTATAAAAGAAAAAAGGAAAGAAAACAATCTAGGGTGTAGCTCTCCAACTAATCTGCACTTGATCTTGACATGCTGCTCTTTCCATGTGATCTCTTCAGAGGTCAGGAGTAACTGAGTGAATATGTGCAACAGGGGAATGGATCTAATTCCTGGTTGCCTGAAGAATCTCTCAGCCTCCTGTGACAACAGAAGGATAAATAGGCTTGTAGCGTCTGAGAGCTCTCAGACTCCAAGCTGACTCCTCAAGAGTCCAACGATAGGAAAATGGAGAAGTGCTCGGGAGTTTCATTTGCTACTTTCTTAGGCAGCTGTGCTGTAAGTTTTTGGGCTTTAGAGATATGAACAAAAAGAGCAGATCCTAGTCATCTTTGCCATAAATCTGAAAGTTATAGAAGGTGGTTAGAGCTACCATGTTCAGCTGGGGGAGTTATGAAAAGACACTCTCTTCTTGCAAAAAATAATCAGCCATTAATAAATCTTTCTCTGTGGTTCTGTTTAAACACAGTTGAGCAGCCCATATACATTTGAGCAGAGTCCTTCATTCCTGAATATCTAGGAGAGAGCACACACCATTCTTAATTGTACAACTTCCATTGGTTCAAGCAGGATTCTGGGAAAGGATTTGTATCTTTAACTTCAATTCAATCAAGCTGGAAAGAGCATGCAGACAAAAATTTTAAAGAACTGCTTGGAAAAGAGAAGTTGTATAGAGTTTTGCATATTCCAGCCTGTCATCCTGGAAATTTGACCATCTACTTCTGTGTTTCGTGGCCCCGTGTTCTCGGAGCACCTGCAGTCATACCACAACCCAGCAGCTGGGCCTCTTGACACAGGTGGGTGGGAGTGAACCTGTTTTCTTTATTTATAGAGGAAATTTTCTGTATAATTTTTGTCTCCAAACAGAAGTGAGGGATAATATACCATCTCCCTTATGTGATGAATCTGAATTTATATTGACTT